GGAAGAACGTGAACGAGTGGAAGCCTGTCTGTCTGAGGTGACAGCCGGGGATTCGGCCGACGGTCAGCCTTCCGAAGAACCTTTGGACACGTACACGACAACCCATGGCGAAAGTAGTAACGCGAACGAAGCCTCGGTAGTGCGTACACACGAACTACTGAGGCCGGTAAACGTGGTACATACGCCAACGAGTGTTAGTGTCCAGCCAAGGGTGACCACGGAAGCGAGAAGCAACGGCACTGGATTGAATGAAGTCACCTGTTGTGACGCAGCTGTCCCGGCCTTGTGTGTCACCAAATCTGCGAACGAGACGTCGGTGGTTGACCCAGAGGATGCAGGCATCGCGCTGAAGGTGTTGAGTACGGCACCGAGTATTCATTGCAAGATTGGTGCGAATGCCGAACTGTCAAGACAGCGGCAGAACGAGGAGCTGAACAAAAGTCAACAACCCAATATGTCATCTACCGTGTTCAAGACGAGGCATGTGCGATTCCGCCACGGGGGTGTGCTTGTGCTACCCAAATTACTTCTCAAGTGACGGTAACGGAGCCATTGGACAGCGTGGCGACTGTGGGTTCGCTAGTGGAACTGTCACGGCTTGTCCAGGAGAGATCGCTTGTAGTGGCAAAGGCACCTGTCGCGGCCCACCGACGTACGACTGCATCTGTAATGAAGGCTTCACGGGCGGTGATTGCACCGAACGGCTCTGCCCCAAAGGGCGAGCTTGGTTTGACCGACCTACAGACACTGCTGACACGGCGCACGCTTTGGTAGAATGCTCGAATGCTGGCGAATGTGACAGAACCAAGGGAGAATGCGTCTGTTTGAGTGGTTTTACGGGTGCTGCTTGCAACCGAAGTACGCTTTGCATGTACCGTTGTATTTTTATGAACGCGTGACCTGATGTTGTATAACGTTTTATCTGCAGTGGTGTGTCCCAACGATTGTAGTGGCCATGGAACGTGCTACACGATGGAGCAGTTGGCAAAGAGAGCGACAGTCAACGGAGAAACGATGAGCTTTACGTACGGTGCTGTCCCCAATAAGAAGGAAACCTGGGAGCACGATATGATACAAGGTTGTCTATGCAGTTCTGGCTGGGAAGGTCATGACTGCTCGTTGAGGTCTTGTCCAACTGGGGATGACCCAATGACATTACGCCAGCAGAACGAAGTGCAGCTGTTGGTGTGCAAGGGTAGCTCAGGCTTCTTCTCGCTTAAATTCCGAGACGCAGCGACACCTCAGCTACCCTTCACTGTACCTGCTGCTTCGCTAGCAAGTGCGTTGGAAGCTTTAACGACAGTCGAAAAAGTGTCGGTAGCTTACAGCACGGACACCAACGGAGTAACAGGCTCTCCAGCATGTGATGCTGCTGGGTCGAACACCATACGCATCAAGTTTCTGACGAATTTCGGAGATTTGCCACCTCTACGATGGATTCTAGATGGAGCCTTGACGCTGACCCTCAGTGTTGATGGAGTCGAGAGCTCGGTGCGTGGTACAAAAGAAGATGCAGTATGCTCGAATCGCGGATTTTGCAATCACCTCACGGGCGTGTGTCGATGCACGTACGGATTCACTAGCAGCGATGGATTTGGTGGCGAAGGGGATCGTGGTGATTGCGGCTGTATGGAGCCGATTTACCTCACTTCTGCCGCTCAACAGGCTAACGCTCTCTAAAACTACACTTTGATGATAATTACCGATTCATAGAGCGCTCACATATTGCTTCTCAAGGAGCATATCACCTCGAGCAGTCCTACCAAACGGAAGTCTAACCTTGAAGGATGCTCCAACCAATGCTTGTGCTTCGCGTACACTATTTCGAGGTGCGTGTGCGAGGTGATGAACGGAGCCGGAAGAGTCTCGTAAGCACTTCAACATCTGTCATTCAAGAGAGGTGTCACTATTAAGTGGGTACTGAACCGATACCATCACTCCTATTCCGCACTCGAACTTCGAATATGCGCGCGAAAGCGCCATCGGGCGAGGGCGCGGCGCCGCAATTCAACCTTAAGGAGCAGGTCGCATGGGCCGAGAAGGTAACGATTGCATACCCAAGACGCAGCACTACTGAACGATGTTGCGTTAACCCTCTACTGTCATTTTGTGCGTGATAATTTCTGTCCAACAAATACTGTTATTGTGTACAGGCACCTACGAACACACTGCAGCAGTGTTTGAATTCCCACGTCATTGGACAGTATCTGGACAGTCGCGCGACCAGGAAAAAAGCGTAAGCATCACTCTAGAGCGCTAGTCTGCTGGTTGATGACATCAGGAGGCCTTATATGCCTTATTACATGGTGTGGGGAACCGTTTGTGGGGTATTGAGCAGTGCTGGACGACGAACAGCAAACAAAGAAAACTGCTGGAGACTATTCCAGGAGGGCGAGATGCACTGGTGAATTTCAGTGTTTACGGGGAGACCGAGGCGTCGACAGAGCTAAAGTGGGCCCCGAC